AGGTCGTATTAAAAGAATAACATTATTTTAATTTACTTACAAAGTCGACTGTTAAATAGTTACGGGTAGATGGTAAGATAGCGTACGTCCCGTTTAAAACGGAAACAGTTAAGTTATTCAAATAAGTATAAAAACACCAATTATAGAAAACGTGGAAGAAAATCAATATTAAATCATCAGAAATCAAATCAGTATCAAGCATTATGAAAACAAATCAATTTTTATTTTAAACAAATGTTTGGAATAATGTGAAACATAAAGTGTAATTTTCGATTTTCGTTTTATATTTTTTTGTTTTTGTTTTTTATTGAAAATGTTAAAAGTAACTACAATTAATTACTTTGATAAAGTAATAGTGCAAATAAAAAATGTGCGAAAGAGGAGTTAACCTAACACAGAAATCTATCTAGGTTTTGTTATTTTTTTTTTTTTTTTTTTTATAAATACGCTTATCCTATGACTTAGAAGCATCATAACAAAGGAACGATGAAACGTTACGGATACATATATTCATTCCCCAACAGTGTTATCCTGTTGAAGATATCCGCAACGATAAGAACTCGTGTTGTATATCATAAGGATATAAATCCGAGTTCCCCAAAATAAAGCTATACAGTATCGACGGGTACGCGTGCGTTTACATATAGCTTCACTCGGGCACGTTATTCGATTTTTTTTTCCATCCGGGGAGATTTATTTCTCCTAACCCTCCGCGAATCGAATACCGTTAGATACGTGACAAATCCTAAATTGCTAAATAACGTTTCGGTCGGCGTTAACGTTGGCCGAATTTTTTATTATTTTTTTTTTTTTTTTACTCCACGTGTCGTCCACGCGCGTCGACTTCAATGCGTATCTGATGCAGAGCAAAACAACCCTACGACCAAATCGGTCGATGCGTTTCTCGTACGGAACCGTCCGAGGAAAACGGGATTTAGACGACGAACAGGGTCTGCGAGCCGACCGGTATAACGTCTCGTGACTTACGTAACCTCTCGTAACCTAACCTGTTGGAAACGCGAAAAATAAACCGTTACACGCTCACATACATTATTCGTAACAATATTCGAATGAACAAACCGTGTTTTTTCTTTGGTGATTATACGTCCGTTGCCCGTGCGGTGTAACGATGCAGGGACGGAGCTCGAAAAAGTACAGGCTGCGACTGATCGGATTGATGCCCACGCTGTAACATCAAACTTTCTAATAGAACCTCTCAAAGCCATGAAGAACGCGTATTCATGACGTCCTTACGAACCGAGTCCAAGGTAAGAGGGCTTACAATTGTTATTAAAAATAATATTGGAAAGGCTAAGACGCGGCCGGCTCTGAGGAGTTATGCGTAGATAATCCAATAAACCGCTGTGTTGCAGGTACGGCGGCGTGTATATGAACCTGTGCCCGGAAAGTAAAAGAACCACGTTACGACGTGTTTGTGAACCATGGATTTCCTACGAAACCGAAAACACCTGTTTACATCACGCACGCGTTTATTGGACGCCGAAATGCGGCACACAACAGACCGACTCACTGTTATTCGTGTCAAAAGAAAATGTATTGAAAACCGTAAAGTAATCATAACTGTTTCTACGCGGTACGCGATGTTGAAATTTTTTTTTTTTTTTTATCTACATTTTCTGCATCGTCGACGATGATAACATGGAATACAACGAATTAACTTATCGGACCCGAAACGCATTAAAAACACCGCGTATTATACACATCGGCGCGTGATTCCCGGACAAATAGTTTGTTCCAAACGCGTAAAGTCGAATAAGGCCCGGGGTTTTTCATTCGTCCTGTTATTCGCTAGATACGTATCCGTCGGATAAATTTATCTTATAATCTTTCAAACAAAGTGATTCCGGTTTTTCGTTGTAATTTTATTCCCCGGATAGCTATCTGACCGGATAAAGTTGTCGGCAGTAAAATTATACCAACAGAAGGTAGTTACTGTTCATTATGGAACAAGTTACACGCGTCTGTTTGATTACGATTGGTCAATGATGAAATTGATAAGGAATCGTTCGGTGATGTTGACACATTATTTATAGTAATACTGTATGTAATTACTAATCAATAACTGTTAATTGGGTTGCGTGTCGAGTGTTGACTCTCGCTCGATATAAGTTATATTCACTTCTTTTTTCAACACGTCTCAAAAAAACATATCCAAAAAACAAAGATCAACAAATTTCACATTTTATGAAAAAGAACTTTTGTTGAAAAATGCTCTACAAAACCGTCACGTATTAGAAAATAAAGTGTTAACTAATAAATTACGAACAACATTTTTTCCAACTCTGAATCTTATCCTAAAGTCATGGTCATCCCACGCCAGCATATGATTTATTCTTTCGTGTACAGAGTACAGACACGTCAACAGTTCAAATATAGAATTGTTTCATAATCACCATCCTCTTCATATAAATCCATGTATATTGAAATTGAAATTGTGTATATATTCACATATGTATTTAAATATTTAAAGTAACATGATACATTATGATAACTAACCATTTTTATGTTATCAGCTGTTGATTATCCGTCGAATAAGATTTATTTGATACAAAAAGTAACGGATAACTTATCCGTAACAATATACATCGAATAAGGTTTATCCCGACATTGAAAAACTGAAATTTTTCAATTTTTTCTTATCTGTCAGATAACTCAAGTTATTTGACGAGTAAATGTGATTGAAAAACCGGACCTTAGTTGTAAGCGATTAAAGGAGAAACGGTTGATCTAAATCCACTTCCGAGATCAACGTCTCCTCGTTCGTTGTTTGACGGCTACTTCTATATATTTTATTGGGCGCATGTAAATTCCGCCCGAAAAAGTTCTTAATTACATTCATCTTAAGTTCTTATTACTTAATGAAGTTTAAAAGTTTAAAGTTACTTTTATTTGTATTTTTCGATCAAAACCGTATAGGTATAATAGCCAATAGGTTTATAAAGAATAAATTTATTACTTACTGTTAATAAACAAATTTCTGAATGTGTCTTATTATTCATATTATTACTGACATAGATTAATCATTATAATTTATAAGTAGGTATTTAAATAAATATATATTTTATATATCACGTCAATATTTAGCACATATTATAAGTCATGTATAGTGTATATATCATATAAAATTGTTAAAAATCGTAAAAATATTTATAATTACAACAATAAAGACGGGTAAAAATATCATTTTCATATTATTGGAACGCAATTTTTAATATTTCTATCTGATATTTCCAATTATTAGATCCATAATATGTGGTAAAGCTGATAAAATATGACGTGTTGACGGTTATCGTCTGAGATACGATTGTTCTGTGTTCGTTCTAACATTACAGTCACAGAACGCTTAGTTTAAAAATATTTATTTTTTCGGACGGAATTCACAAATTTATTTTTGTACCTGCATATTTTTTCGGGCGGAATTTACAAGTACCTTTTTTACTTGGATATTTTTTCCGGGCGGAATTTACAATCGCCCATTTCGTTATTATCCCTTGTAGACGATGAGTGGTGTCTATACACTAGCGGTCCCTATTACGTACACGTTATTGCAAGTGTAATTCGTGCAATTTTTTCGTCACACGCTTATTGTATTCGTATCTTTAGAATTTCACGCTGTACTTTGTTTTTTTTTTCTGAGGCACGAGACTCCAATCATTTCATTCGCCAGCGAGTAGACGTATACCGTGCGGGAGGATAAGATTTTGGATAACTAACCGGCCTTAAACATAATCGCTTGTTTATAATTAAATTATTAGATACAGAATACACTTGATTAATACCGTAAACTCTCTTGGTGTTTTTTTTTATTAACAAAAACTGGTCGACGAACACCGGCCCACCGTTTTATATTGCTCATAACAGTTGCGTATTTTGTAATATATTTATAACAGTTACGAAAATAGCAAAGTACATATTTCTTTTTTTTTTTTTTAATCGGTACGTGCATGCGCCTACTAAAATTGTTCTCTTATTCCACATTTTAGTTGCATCGGCAATTCTTATCGAAAGACTGACGATGAAATTCAATTCATAAATTTACACGTGTATTCGTAAGCTACTTTGCGTTAAAATATATATTAAAATTACTCGTTTATTATTTCCATATTTATCTATCGTTAAACTAATTAATATTAAATATTAATAAGTACCCATCATATTTATTTCTGAACTTATTTTTTTTTAAATTATTATTACACAATATTATTATTGTTTATTATTGATAATGATGAGTATACGAAAAGCATGCGTAATTATAAATACTAATATATTATGAAGTGTAATATTGTTTAACAAATATCTGAAGTTAGTTTTTGAGTCACGATTTTATTGACTTTGTATACACCTGACGATGAATTTTTTATTCAAAACTGGTCCTACTTTACAAATATAATAATACTCCGACCTAAGGTTTTATTTAATCATATATTAAGAAAACGTAATTTTAATTAAGACACACGTACTTGGTGTACACGTAGTTACATTTCAGTTACACGTCTAAAATCGTAACTCCTAGTGTTAACCATCGCTCAGTTGTTGGAACATAAACAAGGAGCGCAGAACCGTAAAATGTCGTTACAATTTTAAAACGATTTTAAAATCGTATCTACGAACTTTGGCGCGAGAATTTTGCTTCGATCTTCGCACCGATGTCGGTGCGAATATCCTAAGTAGATCCCAGATTTGTATGCGTTTGCATGTTTTTTCCTAAACAGTCCAAAAAATAGCTAGGTAAGCTAGAGGTTTGAATTATAGTCACTAGATCCGAAGTACAAAGTTTTATTTAGCATATTTTTGCATATTTTGCCATATTTTGACATACACTGTACATTTCTGTTGTTTACGATTTTTTATTGCGTATATACGATTTTTAAATGCATGATCTGTAATATTTTGTTTAAATTAATTAATATAACGTATTTATAGTTATATTTGTAGTCGCTGTTGTAATTAACGAACTCGTTTTTCTATCTTATCTAAAACCTGACGGGACAAGTAGTGATACATCGAGAAGGTTTTCGCAACATCATACATTAGTCGTGTTTGCCGTGATCCGAGTGTACGTAATTTTTATTCGATTTTATTTATTTACATTTAAAATGCCGAAAATCAGTACAACTACGTCTATAGTAAGCGAAACAAATTTGTTACCGATTATAAAGAAATTTTTCGACATATGGTTTAGTTTTTTTGCATATTTTTTTTATAGGGCCTACAAAACAAGAGCATATTATAAGGAGTATATTTCCAAAGTTCTCGAGGCATATAAATTCAGGCCCTAACAACACTGTACCTGCGCACGGCAGGATCGATTATTACCGGCTGAACGGGAACGGGCGCGAAATATTTTTGAAAAAAGTCTTAAAATGAAACTCGAGGACCGCTGTTACGTTTACAATACTTACGTTCGTTTTCGACAACATTGTTTTCGTTTGTTTCGTTTTTGAAAACGAAACTCGTTTAACGACCAAAAGCCGAGAACGATATTAACTTAAACTTAAAGGTATTTATTTAATTTTTTTTTTTTTAACTATAAATTACATTTGATTGCATTTCATACTGGTCCGTATTTATGACAAGATTTGTTGCATCATATTCCAACTGCTTATTAAACGAATGTCAGCCGAATACTGTTTTCCGTCGAAATACGAGCGCTTGGTAACGGTAAGCCATTGGAAGGTTGCAGAAAAAGAAGAAAAAGTACTGATCCGGACTGAATGACTCATAGTGATGTTAGTTGATTTGATTTTTATGATTATGTTGAACTCGACTAACATTTTAGTATTTATAAAATATATTTCAAATTAAAAATGATTCGCGCTCTTTTTAATCAAATCTATTAGAGTGCTCAGTTTTTGACGACCGATAAAACGTATGAAACGAACATGATCATTTTTCAATCACATATTTATATTATTATCTTCAGCACATGTCTTTACACCGATTTTAGTTGAAAACCATACACGTAAACGGAGAAGATTACAATTATTTCCCAGAAGATTTTCAACCGAGTTAATTCGACAGATATTATATAAAATAACAAGATTCACTCACAAGATAAATATTTTATCAAACTTATCAAATAAAAACCAAAGGACTACCAATTAAATAATAACATGCAGTAGGTATCACCGTTGTACATTAATGTTTATACGTTTTACATTACTGTTTACTACTGTTTTATTCCAGTCAAATCAGCTCAAAGTAAATTATGTTCGTTGTTTACATTTTTCACTCAACGCCACCAAATATGAACCTTTATAATATCCTACGGAGTATAAATTACTCCGTATTAAGCGTACTAATGTTTATTTACTATGTTAACTAAGAGAATTAACGTACGATATAAATTTGTATTATACGAACGAAGGAAACTGGTGTACTTACTGTTTATGTTCAAACGAGGAAAATTTGTGTCTAAAAAAAAAATAGTATCATATTACAGTACGATAGTCAAAATTAAAATATTTTTTTTTTTTAATTTTTTTTTACATTTACAAGAAAATTTGATAGTATAGAAATATTTGTTATTTCCAAATCATTTTCGTCAATTCCTGGTGATGTAAGGCGTTGATGAATATTTCGTTATTGCACCAACGTTTCATTTTTATTTTAGACAACGTTATAAACATACACCCCTGATTATCGAACAGACTGTGTATCTCGAACGGTCTCGATCGGTTTTATGTCATCAATTTTTGTTTGATTGCTAAATTCGATTTAGTTTCATTAGATTGTACAATATAAACTGTATAAAGGCGGACCAAGCATTATTAGTCATGACTCAGGATTCCAAATCTCACAGTGCAGTTCAACGCGTTATATATTATGAATGATGATTAATTAATACCTACCGTTAAAATAAGTGATAATCTATTACGACTGAACTCGAATGAAAACATTTTCAATGATTCAATATAATTAAATTTACTGATATTTTAGCATCATTGCTTTCTATTTTCAGTAATTTACACCAAAGACTCCGTCCCTCGTGATAATTCTTCGTTAAATCCAACAATGTCGTTGCTGACTGATTCGCATATTTTCCGGTTACATATAAATACTACATCCATATAAATATATACACATGTATATATGTGATTGTGTGTGTTCGTCTGAGTCATTAAAACTGGGCCCTGAATGAGTAGGGGTGTGAAAATGTCGAGTTTCATCACAACTCCGTGCAGAATATGTGTACACTGAGTTAGGTAAATAAAAGTTTCTTTGCCTTCAACGCTTTCTCGTTACCCGATCGTGTTCATTTCAAATACTGATCCAATTCAACGTATACAAGTTTACACGCGTAGTTACCCACAATGCAGATAATATATAATATAAGAGCACGTATATTTGATAAACATTTAAAATTTAAATACATTTCCGTATAAAATGTTCGTTGTTTTCGTAAATAGATAAACGTAAATGTATTGATTACTTAATGTGTACACATTTATTCGATTAAAGTATTAATTTTGACGTACAAGTCTATATAGAAAAAAAATTCGATTTGTATTGCGCTGAAAAGAAAGACTCGTTTGAATTAAAAAAAAAAAAAAAAAAAATCTTAAGAGGTTAAGAGATGTGATGAAACGTATTACAGTTGGGTCTCGATAATCCCAACACAGACTAATCCGTACGAGTTTGTAAAATATCGCATCGCTATATTAATACATATGTATGTGTATCATAATAATAGTAGATATGCATATTTCTTAAATAATAAGGTTCATATTTCATAATAAATATTATATTAACAGGCTGTACATACACACATATATAATTATAATAATTTTTTGTATACATTTTTTTTTTTAAATTACGAGTTTTTACATGATTAATACAGATAAAAATAAATTACATAATTTAAATTACAATAAAATCAATGTTCTTATTAAGCCATAGATAATCCGAACAAATCGGTAATCCGAAGGTTCCCTCTCCCCAATCTTGTTCGGATTATCGAGACCCTACTGTAGTTTCCAATCGGTTAGGCTTTGAAGTGATCGTAAAAAATAAAAACTGAGTTGCCAACCGATACGTATAATCAAATATCAAAAGGACAAGGATTTAGGACTCGACCATGATGTGTGATAAGCTATCCTCGATTTTCTCAACGCAAGAATGCATTACATCCATTCCCCCCTCGAGCATATTTTATCTTGAATGGGTCCGGAGAAAGTGTTGAAACAGAATCAATATCCAATAAAATTGCTAACGATCGTGTAAAATATTAATATATCCAATAATTAATCGTAGCTGTTTGGTCAAATCGCGTTTATGCGCGAGCACGAACCCTATACTTGCTTACACCGATCTTCAAGGATTCGGCGCATAAGTTTTGTGCGCGTGAACATGGTACCTACATTTACCGCAACAATGACAATGCACGTTCATCGATATTCACCAGGAAATTGAGGTCTTTGTTGTTTTCTGGAAGTCCTTCGAATGACCGTATTATATTGTGCGCTATTTTTAATACTATTTATTTGTTTATTTAGTTCGTACGGCGAATAATTATTACAATACAATTAAAACGCATTATGAATATCGGAGTTAAAATCACATATTTTCTGTAGACATAAGCGAATTTGATGTTAACAAATTAGTTGTCAAAGACGAGAAGGAAAATTAAACTTTTTTCTTATCTTTTTTTTTTTTTTTTAAAATTTATGCGTATAACTATATATTTATTTAGTGTTTAGGTACGTTCAAATCAATCGTGTTCCGGACAGTGAATAAGGCAGTCGAACATCTCAAACACAAGAAAATCAAATGCAATTGTTTTCTTCGAATTTTTACATCGGTTTAAAACGTTAAACCAACGTCATGCGACACGCGGTGATTCACCGCGTTACAGATACGTTCCGGTCGCCCGTCGACGCCATTTCGTCCGGTTTTCGAACGAAACTTTTCGTCGCGCTCCCGCCGCGAGGAGACAGATCGCGTCTATCGGAAACGTCGGAAACGCGGCGCAGGAGACGAGCGAGTAGCTCAGAATCAGATCGGTGGATCGGTAAAATCTCCCGAGCGCACGATAACTACTCGTCTCTGCATTATTACTACGTTTTAACAGTTTCGTGGGGGACACGCGCGTCACCATATAATTATTTTTATTTTTCGCCGGTGTTCACCGTCCCGAGCTGTCGACCCGTTTCCTCCGGACCGGCTGCCGCTGCTCCGCGGGTCTGACAGCTTTCGCGCGCGCCGCGGCCGACCCGTTATCTGACCTAATCTACAACGGACATGTTGTTATTGTTATTGTTACGCAACGTCACGGCGATTGTATGGCGCGTACCGTCTTTGTGCATCGCGACAGTAACGGATACGAGTAGCTCATCACGACGACGGATATGGAACCCCCTTCGGTTCGGTGCCGGCGACCGAACTGCTGCTAGTACACCGGTACCACAACCCCATACGTTGTTCCGCACGAACTTGTACCGGGCGAACGTCATTGTGTTCGCAGAGAGAGCCAGGGTTTTCTGCAAAACGCCCGGCACCGCGTCCGATCGTCGTTTTCGTATCTCGTGAGATGTGCAACGTGTACGGGCATTGTCGGACGTCAATAACGGCGAACAATGACGCGCATCCCGTATCGGTCGTACAATCGGCGTGCTCAATAGGCTCACGATAGGTTTAGGATTTCGATAGATCGCGAGGTTTTCAACGTTTGCCGCTTGCCGTCTTGTTCGTAGACGCGCGGGTGAGATCAGTGGCTCGCGCAGGGCGGCAGGGGCGTTAAGTGGTCGAAACACGGTCTTCCTTCGTTAATATTCTACCACACGTTTGCACAGGGTTATGTGCGAACAATCTCCATAGTAAATTATTAATAGCACAACCCCTCCCCCCCAACCGCCATCGTGCGAGATGTTCATTTTTCACGACCTAGTTTATTATTTTTATTTAATTATTGTTTTATTATTGAATTTAGAAGCAATAAGCATTTTCTACAGGTGTTTAGGACGGGATAAGGAAGTAAGATTAAATTAGTTTTACGAGTAAAATATTTAAATTACAAATTAAACTGTTTAACTTCTATTTCATATTGTGATACCACAAAAAAAAAGTACTATACCATCGACTATCGATAAATCGTAGTAGTAAGATTATTGATGTTTTAAAGTTGAACGGAACGCTACAAAACGTTTCATATTGTCATGTTATTATTGCTATCAATTATAATATGAATAATATTCATATTTCATATCAATCAGCCGTTTCACGTCTTCAAGATAAACCATTTTTTTTTTCCTACGTAGAATTTGTAAAAATCTCAGAAAAATTTGGGAGGGGGTTACAACCCTCAAACTCCACTTCAAGTTGCGTCACCGATATCATAATATTTTATTGAAAAAGCAAAATGTTATACCTCACAAATTATAAAAATGAAATTCATTTCATTCGATGAGATAAGATAAATAATATTTTTTTTTAATTTTTATTATCGTTACAAGAATTTATGACTACTACTTATTCCTAAACATAATTTTTTCAGAATATGTCAGTCAATATGTATACGTGTAAATGTTTTGAAGTGTTTAAAAATAATTTAAAAATAGAACTGTTTTATGTTTTTTATAATTCATTTAAATTTATTGGACGTATTTATACTATATGTACTCGAGTATTGGTGTTAACAACACTATTTTCGATCTACTCTCTAAAAATGTCAATTACTGCGTATGTCCTTTAGATTAGCTTGTAGGTTTTTCGTTTAAAACGCGTT